AGCTGAGAGAGAGAGAGGTTTCCACCTGGTCTTAAAGCCCTGGAAGAATCAGAAAAAGAAATCAAAAAGAGAAAAGAAAAATATGGATGGGGGGGGAGAGAAGTGGGAAGGAAGATGACAGAGCAGAAGGAAGCCGCATTTACCTCTCTGTTGTTTTGACCTCAGCAGAGAAGCCATCTGGAGCGAGCAAACTGGATCAGCGGCCCTGGGGTGTGTGTCCACAGGGGGCCTGATCCAGCTCCCCCCTCCTTCTTCCTCCCCCCCTTCTCAAGCTCCTGCAAAGCCAGTGTTGAGGAGGGGGGGTGATTTAAAGCCCCCCCCAACGCTTCCTGCTCAGCTCTCCTACAAAGGTGTGGGAGTTTTCCTTTTGATAGAAAGGGTACGGCGGGCAAGGGGGGGGAGAGGAAGAGAAAGACAACGAAGCCGGGATGCTTGGTGGGCAAAGTGGCGGGATATCAGGGCATTGGTGCCAACCCAAAAATCGATGCCGTCCTTCCTGGTGTATTGATCTGGGATCACGGATCGATGGGCGTGCCTCCCCATGTCTGCCTGGCTTGCACAGCCAAAGGCTGCCGACAGCTGTGTGTGTGTGTGTGCATTTGTGTGTAGTGAAGCAGGAGTCCATGTTGGGTGCTGCTTTTTTAAACACCCAACCCAGCCGAGAGGAAAGCACGGGGAGGCGTAAAGGATCAATTGGGGCAAGGGCCTTCAGGAGGTCTCAGATGGGCCCACCTCTCTCTTGTGGGGGGTCCTGGGCTCTCTCCCCCCAAAATGGTATCTGCAAGGCCTGGAAATGTATATATTTATATATTTTTTACACAGGAACGGACTTGGCGTCACCACAAAAAGGGAGCAGCCAGTTTGTTGACTGGGGTTGGCCGCAGAGATCACATCACCCACCCAGCCTTCAAAATGCTGGATTTAACCGGCAAAGCCCAAACTCCTCCAAGGACCGCGTCTCCCCGTTCAGACTCTGCTCGGAGGTTAAGATCAGCAAAGGAAGTCTTCTTCTCATCCCACCCCCTTCACAGCTGTCTTGGGGGGGGGGAGACACCGGAGAGGGCCTTCTCTGTGGCTGCTCCGTTAGACTTTGGAACTCCCTCCCACTGGAGGCCAGCCTGGCCCCCCTTTTTTTTTACTTTCCTTCTGCAAGCAAGCCAAGGGGCTTTCTCTTCAGGCAGGCTTTCCCGTAATGACGGGTTGCCAGAGTGGGGTTTTTTAACGGAGGGTGGCACCTTACTGGTTTGACTGCGTTTTAGCATTGCTGATGTTTTTTAGTATGTTATTTCTTTGATCTCTTTATATTCATATACTCACTGTGCTTGCTTTGAATGCTGTCTTTTAAGGATGTCAGCCGCCTTGGGTCCTTTTAAAGGAAAAATATGGGAGAAAAATATTGTAAACAAACAAACTTCCCAGAAACATCTGGCTGATTATGCTACAGACAGAAAGACTAGGTTAATTGCATCTTTTATTTTCCGTATCCCTGCTATCCAGTCTATCTTTGTTTGTGCTTCTGCACACGTGTGTGTGTGTGTGTGTGTGTGTGTGTGTGTGTGTGTGTACACACACACTTTCTCTTACTTCTGCTCTTTCCAACCCCTCAGTCTTTACTATTGCTTGTGCTTACTATTTCTCTGAACGGCATTTCTTTGATCCTTTTTAGCAAGTATTGCTTTTAGCTTGAATTATTGTCCTTTGATGATATAAGCCGCACTGGGTTCATTTTAAGGAGAAAGGCAGGGTAAAAAGATTTTAAATAAAACCACAAAATACAGTAAAAAACTAGCATTATCTTTTGTGCTCATGGATCGTCGGTTCCTTTTTTTGCAACTCCTCAACCCGAGCGGGACAACGGGGAGGCGTGCAGCCTCAAAACTTTTCTATGCTTTGCAAAAGGGATAATTTTACAACATTCAACGACAGGTGACCCTGTGCCTTTACTGTGCTCTTTTGGGGCATAACGGCATCTGACGTTTTCAAAAATCCATACATTTCTCGAGCCCAGCATTCGTTAAATGACGGGCGGCTCTACAGGGGCCCAAAGAACTGCTTCCTTGTGTCACAAGGAACTCACTGCCACAAGATATAGAGAAGGCCACCAACCCTCAACAGCTCTGAAGAGGCTTTATTAGCCTGTTCACCGAGGAAACATCAGAACTTCCGAGTCACAATGGCCATTATATTTCTCCACAACCTGGGAGGCAGTTAGGGCATCTTCCCACCAGGGATGTTGCATCAGCCCATCAATCAACCCCATCTCTAGTTGATTAACTGGCTGTGAAGCCATTTGGGTATCTGAAACCAACAGCCTTACAGTACTAGGGTAGGGGCAGTTTGCAAAATCAATCAATCAATCAATTAATCAATCAATCAATCAGTCAATTTAACCTATATGCCGCCCACTCTACCCAAAGGTCTCTGGGCGGCTCACGACAATTAAAATTCAATTCAATTAAAATTAAATATTTAAAGGCATCAATTAGCCTTTGCATTTAAACTGAACCACCGAATTTACAACACTGTTTTTATAC